TTTTAATACAGTAAACTAGAATAGATTAAAAATTAACATTTTCCTTTCTGTATAAAATAATAATAATATAAACAGTATATTACACTTAACTTTCTTTTCTGGAGAGCTAAGGGATTGTTTCTGTGGTGTTCATAGGGGCCTCCCTAGGAAAATCTGATGGAAGAGTCAGTTTTATCCAATACCAAGGTCAAGAGTGCTTAGTTCACATGGGTTGGCAAACCTAGGAAACATTCCTATACTTGTCAGGCTATGGGGCTTTCTTCCTTTTCTCCTTCCCATAAATTACCAAGGTCCAGAGACAGTGGTCCTGCTATCTCTGTCTTCGTAAGTGTTTGATCAGAGCAGTCACTGGGATTCCTGGTACATGTGTAAATTATGGGTTTATCATTTTATGGGCAGAGCATAAGCAGACCCAGCAGGACATGGGTCAAATGCAATAGCCCTTTGTTTTTCTGTGTATATAGGTCAGTCTTTTCAATCTGATACTAATATCAATTCACAAACCTTGCTTTCACTATGGTATATCTGGTAAATCATTTTTCAGTCTTTTCCTTTCAACTTTTTTTATACTTCATTTTTATAACAACTAATATCTAGATTTTTTAAAAATCAGTCAGAATCTCAGTATGTTAAATGACAAGCTCAATCTCTGTCTAATTACTGATACATTTGGGTTTGAATATGCTCTTATTTTGTGTTTTAAATCTACTGTGCTCTTTTATTTGCTTATTCTCTCCTTTTCTCTATTTGTTGGATTCATTTTTATTCCGTCCATTTTTCCTGTACTAGATTGTATATCCTAAATTCTATTTGTACTGTTTCAGTTTTTATCTTTAATTTTTTAATGTATACCCCAGACTTAATGTTGGTATATATTTAAACTTTCCATCTTGGCCTAGTGTCATTTTCCTGAGGCACTGTAAATACATAAAGCACTCAATTTTGTCTTAAAATGACTTCATTTTGCCCCCATAATTGAATGATTATTCCTGGATAGGAAACTAGGCTGATAGTTATTTGTTAAAATATGATTCCATTGTCCTTCAGTGTCTGTTGTTGGTAGAAATCTGCTGTCCATTTACTTACTCAGAATATTTCCTGTAGGAGAAACAAAGAGAATGCAGACTTTGTCTCCAGGTCCTTTGCTATTGGGAAACTCACAGGCAGGCAACCAGTAGTTGTCCAATAAATAGGGAAGGAAGTAGGGAACCCTACCAGGGAGGCACCAGAGAAAGCTATTGTCCCAGGAAACCTATTGTCAGTTAGTACAAAGAGCAGAGATTTTGAAAAGGTTAGAGTTGCAGAAGTTTCTTTAAAACATTGTAGAGCTCCCTTAGGAAACGATCAGAAATGGAAAAACTGGTGAGAAGAGATGGTAGAAATCAGGAAAGAGGAGACAGAAGTGAGACAATAGAATATTGCAAGAAAATTAAACTTTACTAGTGATTATTGATAAGAAAGACAAAAGGCTTACGAGATTAACTTTAAATTTTCCTATGAAATCATTATGTAGAATTGTTGTTCAGGGCAGGCTAAAAACTCAGGTAGTTTCAGAATCCTGTTGAACTTTTGCCCTTTGTGTAGGATTCTATTTATTGTTAGTTACCAGATGATCCATTCTCCTGATACTTTGGCAAGAGGAATGAGGAGGAAGGATCTCATACCCTCACCTCTTCTGTAGACAAACTGTCCCACCCTGGAAGGGCCCATCTCTGAAGCAATCCTTTCCCTGGTGACAGGGAAGGAATTAACTCACAGAGTCTTCACCTGTCCACAGAAAAGCAGCAATTCAAGTATTTAAGGGCCCCCTATCCATTTTTTTATATACATAGAAAAGTGTGGGTTGTACCCTTCTGTTAATGAAATTTTTTTATCCAGTCATTCATCTCTTCTAGAAATCCTTCTTATGAGTCTGCTAATGCCAGTCATTATTTTGTGGTGATGCAGCAATGACTGTGTGGTCCTTGTTGCTAAATTCTCAGTGCTTACAATCTAGCAAGGAAGCTGTTAACACTGTTGTTTATGTTAGATCTGACTGAATACTAACAGTAATCCTTTTTTTTCACTGCTAAATTGTTAAGAGCATGGTCACTAAATATCAGTTTGTGTGTTCCTGGTAATCTGTCAGATGAAGTGAGTAAGGTACATTTTATTGATCTTGCCAAATTGCTGCCTGTTAACTTTAACTTCAGAAGTATTCCACAGATGTTACACAAGTGTTTGTGAGCTATTCCAGCTTACTAGTTAGATGGAATGTTTCATGTCAGAATATTGGGAAGATTAGTTACTTTAGGGAGATAGCTTTAAGGGGGATTACCATAATTCTGCCACATTTGACAGCTTTGGATATGTGCTTCAATAGCAGGACTTCATGTCTTTTGTGATTTATTTGAAAGAAAACTCTGTGGTATATGGGATCCATGAAGAGTCTATCTATAAGGATAAAAACATCATGCTTTGAGTTACTGTTATGTGTTTTATAGACCAGTGGGAGCAGATGAATCAAAAAAATAATCAGTGGATTTTTACAAAAAGATTACCTTGTAGATTTGATAAAATCTTGACTATCAATCTTTTCCTTCTAGGTAACTAGTTAAATATTACTGATGTCTAAGAAAGGAGCTATATTCCATTGACTGCTTAGCCCTGTGTTTGTTTAGAGATATTTAATCAAAGGTTCCATGTGTTGCTGGTTTAGTATATGCATGGTACTGTTGTTATGCTAAAGACTGAAGTCATAGGCTTTGCACACAAAGAACTTATGATTTGTCTATACTATATATCAGCACATGCTTAAGATATGTGATGATTTCCATAAAGGACTAGAGTAGGGAAGTATGTCTTTGGTCATTATGGTCAGGGATCATAGGAACGAAGGAGTGGTGGCAGAGCATCCCATGGAAGGAAAGGAGCAAGCCTGAACACAGAGAGGACTGTGCTCAAGCCAGGTGGTAAGGAGAAGTGTAAAGGCAGGTTGGAATCAAACTGGATGGTTTTGAGTTAGGCTTAAGAATTTTGACATCTTCATAATCAGGAAAACAGGTTTAAATCAGGCCAAATATCAGTTCGTTTTATTTAATTCTAAATTGATAATTTTGAGCCTATTCTAGTAATACATACATTTTGAAAAGTATTGGAAATGCAGTCTCTATATGTTCCTTTTTTCATCAGAGTCTTCCTTCAGATTTTTCTTTCTGCAAGAGTGAGATAAATTTAAATCAAGCAAGTAAATCTCTGACCATTGCTGTAATTTAAGCATGGCCAATGGTGATATACTCCAAAGCAACATGAGAAGTGCTAAACATTAAGTTTAATTTCACTATGTCTTATACCACAGATAGAAAATAAAGGATCCATATGCATAAGGAAATTCTGGTAACAATTGCGTTTCTTTGTAACCAACAGTTAAATCTTGGATTTCTTGGGACTAGAAAATCTAGGCAGTAGTGAAAGTTCAAAAACATTGCTTTCGTATGCCTTATTTTTATTGTGCAATTCTTGAGATATTTTCATTTTGTGATAGTAATGTACTGTATTAAAACATTTTAAAAGGTAAATTTCTCTTCTTTTTAATGATTAGCCAAAAAAGCTTCCAAATTTCGAGACTGGTTGGACTGCAGCAGCATGGAGATAAAACCCAGTGTTGCAGCTATGGAAATCTTAGCATATTTAGCATATGAAACAGTGGCACAGGTAAGAATTCTGAAGTGTCACATCAAGCAGCACATGGCAGCTATTCCTCAACTCTACACATTATCAGTTTTTCTTCCACCTCCTGCTCTAGCAACAATGACAGCAGCCATGAGTTCTCTTCTGTAACAGTCAGGTCATTTTCCAGAATTTAGTTCAATTATATTTCTTTGCATCCTCAGCTCTGGCATGTGTTAGAGTTAAAAAAAAAAAAAAAAAAAGGACTTTCTTGGATCTTTATCATAACCAGAAATGGATTGCATACTTTTTTATGATGTTGAACTCTTAAGTCTTCATCTGCCATGTCAAGAGATTATTTTTGAGCTTTGAAAAATGCCTTTCTGAGCTTCATAAATGCGCACCCAAATTTGGACCCTGGAAGAATTATTCCAGGCATGGTCTAAAGGCCACAGCATCAGCATCTCCTTGGCCCATGTTACAGCAAGAACTCCTTACTAGCATTAGAGCAGACCTGAACTGAAATATCTGGATCTGGGGCCCGGTGTTCTGCATTACAAAATGCTTCCCTGGTAATTATGAAAGGACTTTTGAGAACCATTCCACTAGAAAGTAAAAACGTCTCACTGGTATGCATAGATAGCCCCATTAAACAGTCAGTAGAAATCTCTGCTCATGCCCACCGTACAGGTCGTTAGGCAGATAGCATTATCAACAACTCAAGCTGTATCACTTTTAGGTTTGCCACTTGAGCCATGTGACTTTATTTCCATTGCTCTGTTCTTCCAGTTAGTGGATCTGGCTCTTCTTGTGAGGCAGGACATGGTAACCAAGGCAGGAGACCCTTTCAGTCATGCCATTTCTGCAACCTTCATTCAATATCACAGCTCTCCTGAGGTATGTATCAGAAAATCTGACTTTAATACATCTTTGAATTTTGTCATATATCTGGGATTTGCTTTAGTAGGTCTTTGGAACAGACTGTGTAGGCATGTGTAGACTTAAGTCAAAGAACCTTAAATATTCATTATTTAAACGGATATATACTGGGTGCTTACTGTGTGCCACACCCTGACAGTCTACTTCATACCATTTTTTACCTTTTTTCTCCCCAACTTGGCTTTCCCAGCCCTTCAGAGCAAGAGAGCTAGTTGCAGCTCATTTTCTTGTAAAAGAGCCATTGCTTTAGGTGATTTAATAATGATGGGAAAAATTATTTATTTCTTTGTGCCTCAAAAGATGGACTTGGCCTGGAGATGTAGTGCAGTGGTAAAGCACCTGCCTAGCATGTGCAAGGCTCTGGTTCAGGTCCCCAGCCCTGCCAGAAAGAAAAAATAGTTATTATTACTCATTTAATAATTCCTGGTGTTTTAAAAATAACTTTCTATTTATTAATTTTTGTATAAACAAGATTTAAAGAGGCTTGCCTCCATTCATTTTTAGCTTTTAGATTGGCCCTCTGATGTAAAAATCAGATCATTTTCTGATCTGGTTTATGCTCCTGGGACCACTGCCTACAGGGTCTCAACTCTTATTGTCATTTTTATTTTGGCATAATAACTGTACCACTATTAGTATATACAGTATTCTCTGGAGCAGCATATGCCTAAAAACAAAAAATGAAATAAACATGTTGAATACATTTGCCAGTATTTTACATTTTTTACATAAAAATAGCAGTTTCATATTATTCCATTTAATAATGACAGAGGAGACAGCAAAAACATTAGGTTAACATCCATGTTTATAATTATTAGGTGAGTTTTAGATCAAATTGAGTAAAATATGTAACCTAAAAAATGGCAAAATGCTGTTTTATATCTATACTGTATCTTAATTACAAATACCTCTTCCCTCTTAATAGAGGATGGTGGCAGAAAAAGTTTCTAAGAAGTAGGTGTAAACTGTTTTGGGCTACAGACTCTTTGAGAATCTGATGAAAACTATAAACCCCTTTTCCATACACACATTCACCAATTTTACGTACAATTTCAGGTTGAAAAAACCCTGTGAAGCCGTCCTGGGGCTCTAAGGGATCTGTGAACCCTGTGGATCCCAAGTTCAGTCTCTCTGCTCTAGAGTACTTAGACAGTGTACCAAGTTACACACCTGTATAGCATCTCATTACAAACAAGAGGTCAGCTTGGCATCCTCTTATGTCCTAGAGGATCGAACTGGCTTCAAATCCAAGTAGGATGAAAATGTTTTTGCTTATTAAAAATCCACTTGTTTTTCTTAGGAAGGTCATACGTCATTATCAGTCAACATATTTTAAAAGTCCCTAAAGCTTACTTAGTTGATTAAATGCTATTTGTTTTCTTTATGTTTCAAACCCAGATTTTGATGTCAAAGAACACCCTTTAAAATGTCTTTGATGCATGTTCACTGTATGAATATATGTGAAAGTATGCTTTCCATTAACATCAGACAAATTTGTTGTAACATTTCTAATTGAGGAAATTTACTGTGAATATAACAAGCCTAGTTTTCCCTTAACATTCAAGTGATTGCTGGTATGGCTAGGAAAGCTCTTTAGTCCTCCCCTTTCTTGGTTCTCCAGGGTGGCCAAGCCGCCCTGGGCAACTGCTCAGCAACCACAGTGGCTGTTCCCAGCTACACAGCAGTTGAGAAAAATGTCCTGTGTGTGTCCTGGATTTCCTGGGCTTCCTGGGAGGTGAGGGCGCAAGTGTCAGTGTTCCAACAGAATGTTAGTGTAAGACTCAGGTTTTTCCTGGCCTGGTTAGCACCTTGCCTCCTCTGTGACAGGTAGTCAGAGTGGACATTCATAAAGACTGCCTTCCTTCCTGCCCTTTATTACCTGACCGACAAAGAGAATACCACTCTGAAGCAGGAATCTTCCTCATCAGCACCGCAGTCAGCAACCAATTTCAAGGGCCTGTACATCCAGGACTATACCATACTGAGTCCCGAGAGGACTCTGTAGACTGGCAGAAGCTGTGTTCAGGGATACAGAACAAACAAACAATAAATGAACCAGCAATTCAAGATAGCATATATAATTTCCAAATGAAACAGAAAGTACAGGGTTTAAAATCAAACACACACACATAAACTCTAGTTACAAAGACTCAGAGAGAAAGCTGAGTGTTGAGGGAAAGAAAGTGCTTGCGATCCCAGCACCCTGGGAGGCTGAGGCAGGAGAATGGAAGGTGAAACCCAGCCTGGGTAACTTAGTGACTTAGTGAGACCTTATCTCAAAAACAACAAAAATGACTGGAGATGCAGCTCAATGTACAGGCCTTAGGTTAAATCCCTAGTACCAAAACAAACTCAAGCTAAAGGTTTGTTGTGGAGGTTTAGTAGAAAGTTTGATTAGGAAATTAACCACTTACCCGTCCAATTATTTAAATACAGGATGACCAAAAAATGCATATTTTTTCATTAATTTTTATAAGAATATAACAGGAAATATAAAAATGATGCTTCTATCAAATTTATTCAATATAAGAATTGACTGGTTGAAATGACACCTGCGCAAGTGACACTCTGGGTAAACTGTTAAGCGGTTAAGATCCACACTGTATAGAGTCTTAGACTGCTAGAGTTATTAAGGAACAGCTGAAGGATTTGGGGCTAAAGGATAATGGGTTCAGAAGGGTGTTTTAAGTAGATTGAATAGTGGTGCTAGATTAACTAGATTGGCCTTGGACTTGAAACCCTCAGTCTCATGGGATTAATATCTCTGCATGTACTTTTTGTTGTTGTTTGTTTGTTTGTTTGAGATAGGGTCTTACTGCATAAATCAGGCTGACCTCAAACTTGCTTTGTAGCCCAGGTGACCTCAAATTCGAAATTCTATCTCAGCCTCCCAAGTGCTGTAATTACAGACATTCACTACCATGCCTTATAGGAATATCATCCTTGAACACTAACTATGTAAGGGACTGGTCTAATTAAGCTTAGGTTCTTCATCCAAGCAAACTTCCAAGTTTTGTTTTTAACATATAGTTTACACATAGTTATCTGTGATCTGAATGCTAAAAGTGATGTAAATATTCACAAATCAAACACTTCTCATTCCAAGCATTATGGATAATGAACACTCAGCCTTTATCTCATTATTCCAGGAACAAGCTGTACCGGATTATCCACATTCCTTTTCGTTTGATACTGTTTATCCACAAACAGATTAAGAAATATTCTTGAAACCAGAATCTCAATTTCAGCAAGACATTTGGTAAACTATAGTATAATTTTAAAAATATTATAGAGAAGTATAAGCCAGTATATATTATGATTACTGTGGTTGATAAGAATAATGAAATTGCCAGGCATGTGGTGCATGCCTGTAATCCTAGCACTCGGGAGGATGAGGCAAGAGGATTGCTGCAAGTGTGAGGCCAGCCTGGACTACACAGTGAGTTCAAGGCTATCCTGGACTATAATAGTGAGACCCTTTCTCCAAAAAAAAGGAATGAGGAAAATGTAGATTAATAATACCATATTGGAAAAAGACTTAGAGATTTTCATTTGCCTATAAATTTCCTAGAAGACAATACTGTGGTGTAACAAGGAATTTTTCAATTTTTCAATTTTTAAATAAAATTTTTACATTTTGTATAGGATGAGCATTGACCCAATGATGTGTGTAGGGGAGGGTAAAGAAGGAGGAAACTAAAAATATACCTAAGAATACCTAACCCTAAGAATAACCCATTGAAAGAATTTTGGATGTTTGACCATACCAGAGAAGAAACTGAAAATACAGTCTTCAAAATATTTGCAGTGCTTCCACAAGAAAGAAAGAACAGACTTGCAGTCTGGCCCAAGAAACTAGAGTCATGAGAGATGCAAGGGGGAAAGGAAGGCATGAGAAGGGGGAAGGGCTGGAGAACATGCAGGGACCCCCAGGCATGAAGTCTCCATGCTGGGGAAGTGCTGGTGCCCCTGACACAAAGGATGTCTGAAAGGCATCCAGCTTGGCCAGAAAATCTAGGGCTCCTTTTGAAATGTTACCAAAAACTCCATGCAGAAATATGTGTAAGTGAAAAGCCCAGCAGAGATTTAGAAGCCAGAGGTGAAGAATTCTGGTTTTGTCTAAATAAGTAGATTAAAAAGTAACATATTTAGAACCTTTAGGGGCAGGATACAGCCTCATTTCTATGGACAAATAAGAATAGTTTTTTTACATTTTTAAGCTGCAAGTAGCATTGTGTTATAAGCTATTAAAACAATGCTGATATTAGCAGAAGACCTGGTCATGTGATTTCAAAGCCATGTCTCTTAGCAGGGGTCTTGTATGAAGTCCTGCCCAGACTCCCCTGAGAACACTCCACCCCCAACGCCAACAGCTCCACCATCCGGATCACAGCACCCAGGGAAGACCACACCAGGGGCCCTTGGGAATGGGAGTGCTGGGCCGGACAGTGCCAAAACCAAGCAAAGGAAAAGAAAAAAGGTCAGTGACCATTTTTTCCCTCAGGAAGTATGAGGAGTCTCATTGAATTCTTTTCAGAGATAGGAAAAATGTGCTTGCTTTCTCTCACAGCTTGACTTTTTTACATCAACCATTTTACATCTACTTGTATTTAATGACTTTTACTAAATAATGTTCTTCTGGATAAAGAAAAATGTTGATATTTTTCTGATATTTTATTATAAAAATGTTTAAGCATTCAGAATTCTAAAGAATTATGTAAAGAACACTTTACATCTACCATCTAGAGTCTACAATTAACATTTTACTGTGTTTATTAATATATACTGTCACTGTCTGTCTACTCATCCATTTGTCCATCCTGTTGTTCACCTTTTTTTATTTTTGTTACTTTGCAAAGGAAATACGTTTTATACCTAAACACTTATGTATGTATGATTCATAGTTTCTTTTTAAGGTAAGTTTTATGCACAGTGAACCACTTGACCCTTAAGTATACCATTTAATGAGTTTTGACAAATATATTAACCTGTGTTCTTCCAAAACTCTGTCTAAATACAGGACATAATCATCAGCTCTGAAAGTGCCTTCATGTTTCCTCCTAGTGAATTACTGCCATTATCCCCTGTAAGACAGCCATTGCTCTGATTTTTTATCATAGATTCATTTTTCCATTCTAGAACTTCTTATAAAAAGAATGTAGTAGTATTTTTATATGAAATTTCATTTACTCTTGAGGTTTTGAAAGTTTTATTTTTCAGTGTGCATACAGTTCTTTATGGTTGACTTAACGTTCCATTGTAGGAATATCCCAGTTTATTCATTCTTCTTTTGGTGGATACCTAAGCTGTTACCAGTGTTTGGGTATTATAAATAAATTGGAATATGTACAAGTCTTTAAGAACAAATGCCTTCACTTCTTGTAGGTAGATAGCTAGAAATGAAATTGCTGAGTCACAGAGTTTTGTATGTGTTTGATTTTTAATGAAATTGCAAGCCTTTTTTTTTTCCAAAAAGGTTGTATCATTTCTTTATACATCCACCTGCAATATTTAAGCATTCTAGTTCCTCCATATCTTCACTAACATTTGATGTTGTTACTGTTTTTACTTTTAGTAATTCTAATGATTATTGGTAACCCATTATAGTTTGTATATTTCTCTGACCAGTATTGAATGCTTTTGTATGTACTGACTGGGCCACCCATCATTTATCTTCCTCTGAGAAGTTTCTCTTCAAATCCTCTACTCCATTTGGGGGGCGGGGGCATTTGCTTTCATAACCAGTATATAGGAGCTCTGTATATATCCTGAGTAACATTTCATATGTGAAAATAAGCTTTTCACATATTTTCTCTCAACTTATGTGTGACCTAATCATTGTCTTATTGGTGTCTTTGATGAGCATCAGTTCTGAATGTCTAATGAAGTCTCATTTATCCAATTTGTTTCTTTTATGTTTATTACCTTTCCATGTTTTATCTAAGAAGTCTTTGCCTATTCCCTAGTTGGTGATATTCTCCTGGGTTTCCTTCTGGAAACTTTATAGCTTTAGTTTTAACATTTAGTTCTAAGATTTCACCTGTTTTACTCATTTATCTTTCATTTCTTTGACAAATATTATGTGGACTTGACCGATACGGCTGTAGAGTAAATTTTAAGGTCAGATAATATGTGACCTCAAAATGTTATTTTTCAATCTTCATATGGATATGCTATGTCCTTTGCATTCCTATGTAAATTTTTTAATTAATTTATTAATTTCTACCAAAAAGGAAAAAAAAAACCCTTGTGGGATTGTGAAAAGGATTGGATTGAATGCTTACATCAATTTGGAACATGAACATCTTAGCAATATCAAGTCTTATGATCATGAACACAGAATATTTCTGTTTGATTTTGTGAAATTTCTCTTTTCCTCATTGGCAATACTAACCATCCTGAAATGCTTTATCTGGCTGATATAGCCATTCTAGCTTTCTTGTGATTACTCTTTATACAATATAGTCTTCTAATCTATTCCTTTAAATGTATCTGCTTTTATATTTAAAGACAAATAGTGTATATTGAAAATAAATCTCTCAAATAGTTGGAGTTCTCTTTGTTCTTTATGTCTCATCTTTTAATTGTAGTCTTTAATTCTGTGACATTTAATGACATGGATGGAGATGGATCAGATACTTCGCTATTTGTTTTCTTCTGTTTTTGTTGCTCTTTTCTCTTTGGGGCTAATTGTATGCTTTCTCTAGAAATTAATTTTAAATATTGGTTTTTTTGTGATGTCTTTTTACATCATCTTTTGGAGTGATTAGCTTAAGGATTAAATTTCATTGATCTTTCTTTATATTCCAGACTTTTTCTTCTGTGAGCTCCAATCTTTTACACCCATCCAGTAATGTTTTATTTCTAACATTTTATTTTACACTTCTAAAATTTCTATTTCTTTTTGTGGCTTATCTGCTATAATTTTTATTTGTCCACGTATAAGTACATTTTCTTTTATGTTCTTGTGCACAGTCACAATGGCTGCTTTAAAATCCTTATTTCCTGAATTAAATAATTATCTGAATTCCCTTGGTCTTCAACAAGTATAGGTTACATTTGCTTGTTTTTGCATGTCTTCTAATTTTCTTTCTAATTTTCACTTATATTTTAGACATTGTGAGCAAAACATTGTTGACATTATGGGATTCTGTTATATTTCTATGAAGAGAGTTGTTAGTAATGGTATGTTTCTGTTTGTGTTCAGCAGGGAATCCACTCTTCTAGATTTACCTCTAAATTTCAGGCTTCTCTTGAGTGGTAGCAGTGAAACCACACAGGAATAGCTTAGAGGTCACAGATGTAGGTAAAATTTGTATACCAAGTGTGGAAATTCTTCACTTTGATTGTGTCTTTCTTGGGATTTTTTTCCCTTACTTTATACCTGCTTTGGTTTCCCTGAACTCTGGCCTCTAGTTCATGAAGCTTCTGATGTCGTGTCTTAGCCACTTCAACACCCACTGGAGCCGGCTCATGGGCCACAGTAATAACATTAGGACACTCAACCCCGACCTGTTTCCATCATCTAAGCTTAAACCTGCCCTTGCCAGTCTTAAGTGCTCTCACGGACTTCTTTCACTGTTACTTGTCCGATGCTTACACCTTTAGCTATAACTTAGTACAGTAGGAACTATTTGCCATTAAAAGCTATAGAACCATGCCAAGATGTAATTTTATAATTGATACTATGCACATTTAAATTTTAGCTTCATTTCCGGTGTCCCTTCTCATTTACATATCTCTATGTAACAAATATCTCTATTGCATCTGGGTTGTTGTTGGGCACAGAAGATGTTTAAGGTATTGGGAAGAAACTGAGAAAGAGCAGTGGTGGTGAACCTTTTAGAGCTTTCAATGAAACAAACAGCCTGTTGCGGCATGTGAGCCATAGGTTCACCACTGCTGCCTTAGGGTAATTCCTATCAGTTTATTTCAAATGTTATTAAAATAATAAAGGTAATTGAGACATGTTTTATTTATATTTTAAGTTTTATTTCAGGCTCAGGTTAGATGCTCTTATTTTGTGGAAATTTTAAAGTTTTTTTTGAGTTTGTAATGGGAAAAGTATGCACATAGTATAAGAGTAAATTTGAAAGTACAGAAGAGTATACAGTGAAAAATAGGTTTCTCCCTCTTCCCCTTCAAGAGGTCAGCACTGATGCTGATTTCTGGTGTGCCCTTGCAGAGACCAACTGTGCTAATAAGTATATCAGATTCAGTCTTTTGTCTTTCCTAACAGTTGGTGGCCTAGTGCCACCCACCTGGCTACCTTTTATCTTTTTTCTTTTTTCTTTTTTGGTACCCGGGATTGAACTTGGGACCTTGCACTTGCGAGGCAGGCAGCAGAACCACTGAGCTAAATCTCCAACTACCTTTTATCTTTTTAACATAATATCTCTTGGAAATAGCTCCACAGGAGTGGTTATAGTTGCTGTGTTTCCTATTTGTTTGAATGGACATAAGGTAATTTCTTTAGCTAGATATTCAGGGTGAGCATTTAATTCATTAGTCCAAATAGTGCTGTGGTAAATGTCCTTGAGTGTATATTATTTTGCATGTGTTTAATATGTCTGTAGGATAAATTCTTTTGGGGGTTTTTTGTTGTTGTTGTTTGTGGGGTTTTTTGTACCAGGGATCAAACTTGGGACTTTGCGCTTGCGAGGCAGGCAGCAGAACTACTGAGCTAAATCCCCGGCCCAGTAAGATAAATTCTTTGAAGTAAAATTGCTGGGACACAGTTATTGTACTTTTCTTTATTTTGGTAAGATTTTGCTAATTTGCTGTCTATCCATAGAGGTTTCTAACCCTAGAATTATATTCCCTACAAAGAATTGTAGACTAAAAATTGTGGTAATTATCAGAAAAATTATAGTATTTGTAGTAAATATCAGAGTAATAAGTGACGTTAATTAGGTGACTACAAATGAGTTCTAGGCCAAAGTTATAGTAATATACAGACTGAGTTATTTCTTTCTCTTGATTCTTTAACATTGAGGACCTGGCATCTGGTACCTATTGCCCTTGAAAGTAGACCGAGTTTTCATTTATAATTCTTAGTTTAAATAATCACCCAATACTATTAATAGCTGACAGGTATCAGGTCCTGTTCTAAGTGATTTATGTACTTCAACTCATTTAATTTTCACAACAATCCTATAGAGCAATTATAATTGTTGTCCCAAAGTACAGATGAGGAAACTGAGGCCCAGGAATATTATTCAACTTGACATACCTTGTAAGTGGTAGGGCTGGGATCTGTAACCAAGGCAATTGAGAAGCCAGGACTTACAACCAGTCCACATGACTGTAGTACCCCTAACTGAGCATTTTAATGTTTTTTGAAAAGTCATGTTACATACATACACATCTGTCATTTCTTGAGTTGTAAATAATTTCATTGCATAAAATCTTTTTCTTTCTTTATATCCTATTGTGTTTGCAAAATTCCTTCTTATGGATGAGATAAAAATACAAAGTTTTTGTGTTTTGTCTCAAGGACACCAAGAAAATTAGGAACCAAGTTGGAATGCTTTTTTATGACAGTCTCCTCTACAATAAACAAATACATATGAATTTTGCTTTTTTCTTTTAAAATTGATTACCCTCCAGTTATTATATGTGCTGCCGAAGCAAGCACGACCCTCCAGTTATTTCAGAAATATGCCCAGGAATCTCCCAAGAAACATTTATAATAATAAATGTTAAAATGTTTTTTAAAAAATAGCTTCCTGTGGTTCTTTCAGTGAGCTCTTGTGACACTTCATCTACACGCAAGTAGTGGTATCGTTCTGTACCTTGACATGCAGGCTTAGGTGAAATATTGTAGGCATAAAAATTACATTTGGTAGAGGTCTTCTCAGAAGGGGTCACATAACAGTCATCTTTGATTTGTTAATGGAACTTTTTTTTTAGTTGAAGTATATGGCAGCAGCAATGTGCATCCTAAGGAGGGAAATGGCCTGTTTTATAAAAGTTTATTTTCATATTTCATACACTGTAGTTCTGTTGCGTGTTTTTGATTTAGTAACAGTTTATGTGTTTTTCTGTCACAGAGCACCGCGGCCTGTGGTGTGGAGGCTCACAGCGATGCCATCCAGCCCTGCCACATCAGAGAGGCTATCCGACGCCACAGCCACAAGATTGGCCCCCTTTCCCCATTCACGGTACGTAATAACAGAGTTATAAAAAGTTATATTTATAATCTGAAAGAATTTTGATTTTCAAGTGGTTAAATGAAGAAGCAGTGGAATTGTTGAAAGCAATTTGCGGTGACCATAATTTTGTTGTATAAAAGTGGCATAATTCTCTTGGGAAATAAGTTAGTCTTTTTGTCTCTTTTTGAGAGGACAAATTTTTTTTCTACAAAATATTATTTTCTTTCAATTACATATTAAGCTTTGTGTTGGGGCTTATATTTTCTGTTTTTCAAAGCTTAGGTTTATAAAACTTTTGTCAAATTATATGTATCCAAATATTGTTAGAGGCACTTTATATTTTAAAATTGGTTAGATTGGCATTACCACTTCTATCAGACATCCTTCTTCTAAACACACTTTGAGTTGGAAGAAGAAGAAATGATTTCTTTCCTGGCTTTGAACTGGGCTGAACTGCAAACGGGCTTTCACGTCTTCGAATGATTTGAAAGCTTATAATCATGGTTTTATTTTTTTAATGGAGAATTAAAGACTCAAGATTTCAGCAGCATAAAGAAAGTGTGCATGCAGAGGTGTATTTTAATTAAGTGCTCATCCTATATATCTTTAAAAACACTATATCTGTGTAACAGAAGTTGTTCCAAGAGCTTTGCTTCTAAGGAATTGGTTTAACATTCAGAAGTAAGATTTGATTTACATAACTGAAGAACAGTGACATTTACTGGGTTGGGTTTTTTTTTCTTTCTTTCTGGTACTGGGGATTGAATTCAGGGATTCTACACTAAGCTACATCTACAGCCTCCAGCCCCCTGAGCCCCGCCCCTTTTGAGACAGAATCTTGCTGTCACTAAATTGCCCGGGCAGGGCTCAAACTTGGCAGTCCTCCTGCCTCAGCCTCACAGAGTGCTATTACAGGTGTACGCCACCACACCTGGCTAAATTTTACTTGTTTTGATATTAACTTCTGTTTTAATATACTAATCTAGAGTATATATGAATAACATTGTATAAAACATAAAAAGAGTAAGTATGACTTAGTGTGTTTTTACCTAAGAATAGAATGTACTATTACTTGTTCATGAGTCATGATTTTTTTTGTTTCTTTTTATTCTTTATTTTTTTTTGTTTCTTTTACCATTCTTTATTTTCTTTAGTTATTGTGAATTTTATGTCTTCTCAGTGTCAAGGCCAAGAATGTCTTTTATAAATGTCTCTAAAAGCTTTTTATAATGGTGATAATCATTTTCACTTTCATAAGGTACTTAAAATTTGGCTGGTATCTCATAAGAACATGATTTTATTTTCTATCTTATTTTAATTTTTTTTCCTGAGGACTGAATCTAGGGCCTCATACATGCTAAGCATGTGCTCTACCCCTGAGCTGCACCCTAAGCAAAACATGATTTTAATACTGCTCATTAAAGCTATATATCCTTTTATATGAATAAAAGTTCTTACAACTGAAAAGAATGAAATCAAGTACCTTTTTTTTCTACATGATAGCTGAGATTATTCTAAGTGACAAGCCAAAAGAAAAATAAGCTTTATGGAAATATGATATTTGGAAGTAAGAATTTTAAACCCAACTGAAATATAACCACTTGGGGCCAGGAATTTAGCCCTGTGGTTCCACCGCCTGACTCACAAGTGTAAGGTCCTGAGTTCGATCCCTGGTACCCCGCCTCCCCCCAAAAAAGAAATATAACCACTTGACAGTGAGTGGCGGAAAGTATAAAACTATAATATCCATACCTTAGAGCCAAATAATGACCAGTGGGTTGAGGTGATGGTTTGGAGAGAGAAGAAAATGGAGGCAGTGCTGATGATAATTTAGAAGTGCTTAATGGATAGCAAAGGGAAAAAGAATTTTGAAGAACTCACTTAAATGTTACCTAAAAGTAATAAATAGAATTTCATAAAGGAAAATATCCAGGGCAGGGGAAGAACCTCATAATCATGATGTCTTCTTTAAAAAGAAGGTGGTAGCTGTTTCATCCATTGAGGCTTTGTTTTTAAGTAGACCAAGCAGATCATTCAAGAGCATCTCAGTCGATGGCTGTGTGTGTGTGTGTGTGTGTGTGTGTATACTTGTATGTGTATATACACCTCCACCCCATGTCTAGCCTGGTACTCATGTGTTACTTCTTTTGCAATATAAGACTGTACTGTATGTAAACTATGTTCTTTAATCCAGGTTTAAATACAGCTTAAGCTAATGGTTATCAAATACACATAACCATTACATATTTTAAAACTAATGATACTATTTTAAAATGCTTAACTTAAGTAGATCTGAAAAATAGAAAAACTAATCCAGGACCTGAAATATTCACGTAGCCAGTGTCCCAGCAGACAAGCAAATTAGCAGTGAATGGTAAAGAAACCCTACCTGAGGGGGGCACCAAGATTTGATTCCTCCTCAGGGTTCTCCTGAAAAGGTCTGCTCCATTACCTGGCAATCTGAGATCTTTGCTCTTCATAGCTGCATAGGATCAGGAAGACAGATTCATGGTGTGTATTGTAATACGTGACACATGCCCCCAAGAATACTTGCCAGAGATGCTTGCTGCTGCAGCATTTACCCCCAAGATAACTTGCAAACTACAATCCTAACCTTACCCCTAAATTTGCCATAAAATATCTAGCTCTTAGTATTATTTTTGAATTATTCTGGTACACTGATAGTCTGTTTTTACTTTTTTTCTTTTTTTAATTAAATTCTTTTATTGGTACATTTTAGGTATACAACACAATTACATTTCTCATTGGGAATTGTACCTTTACATGATGCATCTTGGTTCTTATT